ACGCGGCTTGTACACCTGGTGAGCATGTTTCATTAATCTGCTTGGAGGTCTTGGAGGCACCGCTGCTGCCCCCCATCCAGCGCTGTCCGGGCCTTCGCGGATGTAGGGATACGTAGGAGGGCGAGTGGAAGAGAGCTTTGTCAGGGCGGGAAGGGGGGGAAGGGGGGCAAGGAAGCCGGAAACGGGGCTTTCAGCTTGTTGCATGAAACTGTCCGAACCGGAGGCGCGCGGGATAAGACACCTCAACCAAATCAGGTAAGCTTTGAAAGCATACAACCCGACTTGGACGAGAAGGCAATCGAGGCCTTCAGACGGCCAAAAATGTGCTTAAAAAAGCCCCGCATGGAATTCCATTTCTTCTCCTGCTTTTCCTTTCCTTCCTCTTTGCTCATCCCTCGTTTGCAAATCCAGGAGCCGGAGACTCGCCAGGATCAAGCATTCAAGCATATCTACTGATACCAGTACCAACCATCCATTGTGACACGTCCGAAGGTCTCACCCAAAGCTGGGCACCAGGTATGAGGTGGACCATGCTCGTTTGAACTGGCCCTTGCCATGCCCATACTGAGTATGGCTCATCATCAACTAGTCCCAAAGCTTCTAGACGCCTGAGAGGGCCCGGAAGCCTGTCAAATCCGAAAGAACTGTTTTCGTGATCGCTGGGAGCACTGGTTCGTGAGCTTGCATGTAGGCTGAGCAGGTCACGAAAGAGTATAGCTCGTAACTCACTGGATGCAGCCAAGACGTGGCAAAAATCTGACCCCCTAAAGGCCTACCCGTGAGGCTTCAGTGGTGACAGTTGGAGTTTCCTGTGAGCCTGTGTGTGCGGCGCGTGCCGTTACACCAAAGGCGTGATGGGGCCGTTTGGGATCATGACCCTCGAGCTCCGAGGGACGCTTGCGAGAAACACGCGACGCTCAGCTGTTCCTTCCAATTCAGCAAGATGAAGCAAGTGCGGACGTGGAATTGACGAAAGTGTTAGCTTTTCTGGCCTTGTTTGAACAATTGAGCCGTCACTCTGGCTGATTTTTGAAAATGTTGATCGCATTTGCGGCAATCGTTCCAAGGATACGACCTCTTGGTTCTGGCCACCTTGCCATCAACGGGGAAGCGAATCCAGACCTTCATTACGCGAACGCTTCCTGCAGGTAGGAGCATGACTTTAAACGACAAATCACGACATCCGCAGAGCAAAGAGCTTTGTTCTTGTCAGGTGCCTATCTCGATGTGACGCAGGTCACTGCACTTGAGGAGGCCTGGGCAGATCTGCATGTGGACCTTGGACGCTAGCCGATATTCGATGCTAGCCGATCGCTCTGCAAAACCCACCATGCGTCGACGGCTAAAGGTGATTCAAAGAAAGTGTCGTTGCACAGTGACCGTTGACCGTCAAACTCGAGTTCATCAGTGTCACACTCACATCGCTAGTTGCATTTCCAACGTCAATGTGGGGGATCTGCCTTCAAAGCCTAGATATACCTAGTTCCAGTTGTGTATATTGACAAAATGGCTGGCGGCTGCATATCCGGCCTTGTCGTGATGTAATTCTGCTACTGGTGTAGGTTTTGCACAGTAGCGGGTCCACACTGGTGACGTGTTTTCTCGCAGCCGCATGCGTAAGAAGCCCACTACAAGCAACATGGAAGGCTACTGTGCAGATTGCAACTTGGCGGCCTGGGTGTCCGTTGCGTGAAGTGCAATGCCAGTGTGCACTACCTGCAGTCACTACCTCCTCCAGCGTGTTGCGGGTCCATCTGCCAAGCCGATGCCGAGGTCCCCGAGTACGTGACCAAAGCAACGGGTAGCAAGTACATAGCGAGCTTCCAGGATGCTGCACCGCAAGCCACATGACAGCTTCAGCTGGATTCCTTTGCTCAAGATGCAAATGTGTTTGGTGTGCTATGTTGTCAGCCAGCATCTCCTGCATTCCACTGACCAGTTTGTAGGGCCCATATTCCACTGTTTGGCCAACTGTTGCCTGCGCACTATGTTCAGTGATGTTCAGCCTTGAGTCCATCACTAGGTATCAAGTCCGGGGACGAATTTGCACCAGCGGCTTTGCTGAAGAGAGATATCATGTCTCTACGCAAGTTAACTTGTCGGTTTAGGCGTCTGCTACTTTGAGTATTTCTCTGGGGGCTTCCTAAGGTATAGCTTCGTGATCGCTGGCTCCAGCACTCCCTTTGTTGCTGGTGACGAGTGCCTGTGCCTGGAGATATCCTCGCACATCCGTGCCCAAGTTCCTAGAGGCGAGCCTTCAAACAAAATCAAGCCAAGGATCCGGATCTTCTCTTCCCCTTTTCTCTTCGCAGACGAGGGCCTGAGCTTCGGCGGCTTTTGCCCGGGTTTCGATGTTTCTGGGCCCTGCTGGCACGTCTTTTTCCGCAAGCTGCGACAGGGCCTGGGCTGCTGAGTGCCAGGTTCGCGGATCCGCTGATGCATGCGACCTGCACCGTGGAGGCCATCCCGGAGGACTCCGACAAAGGAACAAAAATTGGTTTGCCGACAGCTAGCTCCAGATACTCGGGGTCCAAGTCATGAAGGTACTTGTAGGACGTTCTGTGCTCTTTTCAATCTCTTTTCATCGGGTTTTCAATCTCCGACTCTGCTTATTCGTTGCTCAATCGCGTTTGCCGACAAGGCCACTACTAAGGCAAGTCCGCTTGTCATAGCGGGGTCTTCTGGCAGTTCTCCACAAAAAGCGGGGGTCCGTGCTAAAACGGCGGAGGCGAGGGGGACCATGGGCCTTTGAGTCTCTAATCGGGGGGAAAAACAAGTTTGGACATTTAGGCTACCCGTGCCGGTTTTTCTCAAAAGGGGCATAAAGAAGGTGGGTTTTTCTATGTTGCTCTGTTCCCCCAAGCGCCCTGAGCCGTGGACGATGGCGGATTAAAATTGCCTGCTGTGTGATTGTCGGTTTGAGGGTGCCACTGCGACCCTCACAGCAGCAACAAGGCTGCAGCGAGTCGGACGTCTTTGATCAGGGAGACGGAGCTGATATGAGAGATGCCACCAAACTTCAAAAGATCTTCTCGATACCTTCCGAACGAGGTTTCCAGAATTCTTTGTACGTCATCTTCTCTGATTGCGCCGCTTTTCCTAAGCCCCAAGCGTTGCGTCACGTGGTTCTTTGTTATTATTGTCGAGGCATTGTCAACGCTCATCTTTTCTGTGCAACTTGTTCATGACGTGTGTTCTTAGCACGGGGCCACAAGGTCGATTTTCAAGTCCACATCCTAAGCACAGCGCGACAGGGGGAGCCGACAGCCAAGACTTGCGAGGATGGCCGTGCGGGCTACAACATGTTGGTACTGCGCTTCGGCAGCGGGGCTTCCTTGGGTTCCACGGCACAGCGCCTTTGCAGCAAGGTGTTTTGTCAAAGTCGAAACCGTGTCTGTGCACACAGCCGGCCAAGGTATTTCCGTGTATCTCTTGCGACCGCAAAAGGCCAGCGCTGCAGCAAGACGATGCACGACCGGTCAGATAAGTGGCACAATTGAATATTGAACACGGGCGAGCGAGCAGATGAAACGGCAAGAGCTGCAAATAATGGCCAACCTGTGCTCTGCCCCATAAAACCATCTTGACCGCCGTCCAGCTACCGCCCCATGCTGCATGAGTCGTCTGGAATGCCAGAGACGTAGCAACAGCCCAGCTCGAAGGTGACGGCTCGATCGGCTACTGGTACGCGGCTTCTCGCGATGGAGCAGCGGTCTTTGACAAGGTGTGGAGATGCACGGAGGGAGCTTTGGAGACACTTTCCATTGCCAGAGAAAGAGGCATGTCGGAGATTGTAGCAAGACCACCTAGTGCAGATCAGGTCGTTGCGGCTAGCAGACCCTTTTTCGTGCAGCCTCAAATGGAGGTTTTGGCGGGGTCCTCGGTGCAGCATACTTTTTTGGGAGTATCAATGCGCTGAATATGTAAAGGGCGGGCGCGGTAGGTTTGCCATGCACCGAAGTACAACGAGGTTGCATCGGGTACTGTCCATGGGTTTTGCTTTGAGATGCCGAATCAGGATGGCGCGCAAGTGCCAAGGTGATGGGGTGCTTCTGCCTTCCCACCTATGTAGTTGCATCATTTTCTCGCGGTTCTGATGTAGTTTGTGCGTCGAGCAGCTGAGATGCTGTTTCTCAAAAATTTTGTAAGCCATTCGCGTAGATCCCACGTCTCCCCATTTACAAAGGATGCTGAGGGCATGTAGACCTCAAATTTGCTCAGTAGGCCCAGTAGTCCCACCCATCCTTGCCTACGATTTGATCTTGCCTCCTACGTCGTGTGCCGTCGTGATCGGTCATCGATCTGGTGCTCACATGGATACAGCAAACGAAAACGAAGTGCAGTATCGTCTTACTTGGGTTGAAAATGGGTGTGGCTGGTCCAGACCAGTTTGGAGGGCGCGCGAGGTGTCGCACTCACAGGGGCGAGTGTGTGTGTGTGTGTGTGTGTGTGTGTCACGATCTGCAATCTCACTTTCCGGAACCTGAAGGTGTGCCCAAGACTCTGTCCAAGAGGCAATTGAACATCTACTGAATCTACTGATTTTGCTGTGCGTGATGAGTCTTGCAGATTTGAGGCTCCTGGCTTCGCCTCGGCGCTCACTACCTTCGCAGCCCGGCAGTCCTTGCAGCTGACCGTTTTCCCGCGAGTGCCCTGGATGTGACGGCTGCCACATGGGTTTCAATGAGCTGTGGACAGAGAGTTGGAAAAGGGTTGAGAAATGGCAGGATTGCACGGATCAACCCGTGGCAATCGCTGGTTAAGGTGAACATCCTGGGGTCGACGGCAAGCCCGGACAAGCTACGTGTTGTCTCCCCGACATTCCACAGTATCACTTCTTGCTCGGTCGACTCGCCACATCCTGCTTCCTGGCAGCACAGAGTGCTTGAGCTTGTCGAGAACACTACAAAGCAGCTATGCGTTGGCTGCTGGGTTGAGTGTTTCCAGCCGGCTCCAGTCGCAGATGCCACCATGCACAAAAAATATATAGCAGGTTCCTCATGAAGGAGCTCTGCGTTCTTGTCCTGCACTGCATTGTTTTCTTTGCCCAGGACGTTGAGCTGGTTGGGCTTTTCACCGCAGCTTATTGCCAGCTCATCTTTGAGGACAGCAGGGTTACTCAGTTTTCGATGATCCCCCTAGCTAGAACAGATCACAAGAGTGATCATCAGGACAACCAAAACCTGTATGCTCACCAAGCAGTTCAAATCACTTTGGACGTCAGCAACCCGCAGGCCTGCAAAGTCTATAGCACGTTCCAGCACTCTCAGTGCAGCTACATGCATCCGCATTACGTCGGAACTCAGGTGGCTCTTCCGGCAGAAGACTGGCAGGCCTGAAGCATCATGGAAGTTCGCTCGCTCGTGCAGTTTGTGCGCTGTGTGGGAGGTGCACCCTGGTGCACCCTTAGTCAGATTTCTGCCGAGAATTCAGGTGACCTTGGAGTCTGCCGACGGCTCGATGTCTACCACAGCCCTGCTTCGTGGATGGCCTGTCGTGGCTGCGCTGCAGCAGGCACATGCCCTGCTACTGCGCTACCATGTCCCAAGTCAATCTTGAGCCATGTCAAGCCTGAAGAGCCGTCGCTGCTAATGCCGCCTAAGAGGCCTTCCTGATGCCTATGACGACGCTGGGCACCGGAAAGAGGATTCAGGTGTACGTGACAGTCGTGGCAAAGCATGGAGATCCCTGAAAGAAGGGAGTCAGAGCTGCCTTCGCACGGTGAATCCTGATGAGCTGTAATCACTTCGGACTTGACTTGCCTTACTTTCTGAGAGTATAGCAGGTCCTTAGCAGTCCAAAGACACGGAAAGGATGGAGTTCGCCAAATGGAACGAGGTTCAGGTCTTCTTCAAGCCGCGTTGCTTGGCTCGGATTGGCTGCCGGTGCGTCTGTGAAAGGGTTGAAAAAGATTTGCACAGTCTTTGCGTCATGACACGGCGCATCGTTTGCAGTGAACTGCTTCTTGAGCTCGGTCTGGGTGTTTTTGCAACCCAATCCAGGTCAGGGTTTAATATAGTCCCCCGGTAAAAGGATCCCCTTATTACAAGGACCCGACCCCAACAAAGCACCCCAACTATCGCAGACTCCAGGTAGCAACTCGCCAGAGGCCGGATGTGGTCTTGTAGCAGTCACTGAAGTTTCTGCAGGCCACGGGCCACAGGTGTGGAGTCACGAAGCACGGAACAGCATTGCCTGTCCAAAGCACTGTTGGCCAGGAGGCACGTGCCATGATTGTGGCACCATCTGCTTTTCACTTTGAACCTCGGCTGCTATGGATATAAAGCTCAACTTGCAAACGAAACTCGGTGGATGTATGCTGATTCGGAGTGGAACAAGGGCTGACTTTGGCTTCTGATTCCAGCAGACTGGATACACGATGAAATTTCACAATGAAAGGTCGGCATGTGCAGATCCAATCTTGAGACAGGAGGTGCCTTGTTCCTTCGAGATTTCCGCGGGCTTTCCCGACCCTGGAGTTACATGTGAGAGCCTCAGTTTGCGGCTTCAATGCTTTGCAGAATCTCGGCTTAGCTTGACTCAGTCGCCTGGTTAGGTTCCGATAACCGAAGCCTTCATCACAAAACGAAGCCCAACACCACAACACCCCCAAGCCCTAAGCCCATCTAAGCCCTCTGAGCCCTGGACCCACGGGATCAGAAAACAAGCGGGGCCCTAGTCCAAAACGTCGGACCCTGTTTTCAAAACTGGGCCTCGTTCACAAAACATGCCCTTGATGCCTGCAAAACCACGGAGGCGGGTTTAAAGTTTAAAGTGTTTAGGGGTTTAGGCCTCTCAGGGCTCCCAGCTTTCTGATCAGTGCTTCCCTGTTTTTACGATTCAGGGGCCCGGCGTCGTGTGAACAGGGCTCTGTTGTTTCACGAAGAGGTCCCTGCATTCTGTTTTGCGATCGTGTTCTGTCTTGCGATCGTGTTCTGCGATTGGGGATATTGCCTCGCCCAGGTTCCAATCCTCTCTCCGAAGTTGGACGCAACCTCTACTCTCTGCAGCTGCCGATGTAGCTCTCTCTGCATGTGATACAGCGGTGCCAGGATGCTGAAGATGGCTCTTAAAGCTGTTAAAGTGAGTTTGGGACATTCAACGATCGAACCCCAACACTCAGAGTGGTAGCAAGCACATGGCCCCGGTGAACTGGGCCCGAGGTCGGTGGCCTTCTTTGCGGATACGTTCTACGCCGCGAACCTCTTCCCTCTGCGCAATCCCTATCCGGGCAGCTTTTCTGGAAGCCTGGATGACCTGCCTTGGAGGAGTGCTGGGGTTGGCCCACGGAGGATGGAGGTTCTTTTGAAGTTTCAGGGCGCCTCGGGTGATGGGACTGTGGCATGCCTTCTTCATGAGCCTTCCAGGATTGACCTCCTTTCAAGAGGTGGTGAAGTCTTAGAGACGTCCCGACCCTCGGTGGCAGGGAAGTTGCGAGGGTGATTTTGCCCAAAAGCCGGAGTGGTGCCAGTTTCGTGGACAATTGTGCCAGACTTTGGTGCTTTATGCTTCTGCCTCTGCTGTACTCCACTTCAGGAAGCATCCCGGTCGGCCCGTACCTGAAAGGTTTCAGCATCTACCCGCACGCGGCGTCGAGCTAAGACGGAGCTGAAACGTGCGTCAAGCCTCAAGATCCCAGGCAATGTGTATCGAACATCACTCAAATGCCTCTCCCATCTCAATTGACATGCCGATTGCCCGACTCCAAGGTCTCCGCTGGTTTGGTGCAGCCGTCGCTGCGGGAGCCCTCCGCGCAGAATGTGGTAACGCTGCGCTTCCGGCTCGCGGCGCCTTGTCCGCCAGCCCACAGAGGAGCGTGCATGATGTGGACGGATGCATGCGAACGGGCTGGTTTGCCTAACCCGCACCCTGTTGCAGCGGCTATGTTTCAGGTCGCCATCTCAGTCCATGGCGAGCGCCTGCGCATCACTGCACCGCATGGCTACCGCTGGCCAATAGGTGCCAGTCACGGGGTTTGTATTCGTTGCTACTCGTACCGTGATACCACTACACGATACACGCAGAGGCAAAGATGCTGTAGCAACAGGCAGCATGTTATACACAACCAGGCATGCTGGCACAAGGGCTGTGCAGAAGCGCTCTCAGTCTGGGGCGCAGGTGGTGATCCAAAGCTTTTCATGAAGGAGTCGCCTGTGACACTGTCCACCTTGGTCTACGACGTGTTTCGTGCCTGCAATTGTAACATATGCGTTGTCTTAGAGCGACCGAAGCGTGGATGAAAGTAGGACAAAGTAGATCTGCACAAGATACGGGGTACAAGCAGCGGTGCCTCCCAAGCTAGAAAGAAAGGCAACTCAAAGGTCACACAGAAAAAGGTGAAGGCGCCACGAAGTCAAAACAAAGCAGATCCATGAGGCAACAAACCCAGGGGAACACAGGTACAAGAGGCAGGCCTTCGCCCGGCCTCCCGCGTATCCCGTTTGGCTCTCTCTTGGTATCCCTTGGTGTGGGCTAAGTCAGGCTTCTCGGATGGGCCCCACGCTATCCTTTGCCTTGCTTTCAGTCCAAGCTGAGCTCAAACTCCCGGACGTTTCAGGTCCTTTCCACCTTCAATTGAGCCACACAACCAGCTGGAGCTGACACTGGCCGGATCCTTGGGCCCTGCTCGCAGCCACAATCAGTCTCCTCGGACGAGCCCCAGACGTTGCAGAGGTCAATCCGCAGATCTTGGCTGGCTCTGACATGCGCTTGGAAGGATCCGTGGCCTTGGACTGCTTCGACAGACCATAGCAATTCAGCATTAGACCCAGCAACGGACGAGAGGCTTCGCAATTCTCCGGCCCCCGAGGAACCATCCAGAATGCGGCAAGGGATCCCGAGCTTCAAAACATCTTCCAGAGCGCGAACATCTGGATGCTGGCACCACGCTTCCAACAGGGTACGGGCTTGAGGGTAGTTCGTGGCGGGTGTTTTTGAATGTCTTTTGCCTTGCTGTGTGACGGCGAACACATGTACAGCATCCGTCCCCTCGCGCGTTTCGTCATTTGGTCGCCAAGCCTAGCTCAGGCTTAGCCTAAGTAGCAGGCCACGCGGCTTCTGAGTCACCATTGTGCCTGTGCAGGGTTTTAGCATGACTTGCGTCCATGTGTCCCTGTACTGCCTGAGGAAATTTACGAGCCAGGGGCGGGCTATCTGTTTTATGAGACCCGCAAGCAAGCCGGGATCTTGCCAGGCTGAGCCTGCTGCTTCTGCCCTTGTCCTGCTGAGCGCAATCCGCAGATTTCGCAGCTTTGAGCTGAGTCTGAGCCGTTCACTCGCTCGTTCTGTCAGGCTTTGCCCTGCAGGCCATCACTGGGGCGGAGGTCCAGCCGTGGCTGCCGCTGTCCTCCACTACCCCGCTGCTCGGCACCGTTTTTTTTGTTTTTGTTTTTTTCGCCTGTGTATGCTGGTGTTTCCACGTGTCATGATATGTCTGATATGTGTTCGCATGATTCAGCATGATGGTTCTAAGTTCTCCGGCTCTTGCTAGAGTCATTTCGCCAGTGTTTCGCCCAAGGCTCCCGGTCATGGTCACCTTCCGCCTCGGCACAAGCTTCACTGCACCCCCGGCAGTACTGCTGCCAGGCTTCAAACATTTGACCGTAGGATCCTTCAGATAGCTATGGTCATCACTTCTACAATCGCAACCACTGGCCGCGCGTCTAAGGAGAAGTAGAGCCGGGCGGGGGAAGGCATGGCTCATTCCAAGGTCTGCAGTGGAGCTGCTGGCACCCAGCGGGTTCAGCTTTCCGGAGGCGCCACCCAAAGCCCCTCCCCCCCCCTCCCCCCCCTCACAATCGGCACACACCTCTTGAAGCGATGCTGTGCTGGCGGGGAGGCGTGCACTTTCAATCGAATCTCCCCTCTCCACCTGGAGATTGACGGCCTCTTGGCTGCAATTTGCAGGACTTGAGGACCTTGAGGACATACGACTTTCTCTGGAGTGTTCGTGCTGGTTGTACACTTGACAACCAAGGTTACACTTGGCTCCCAGAAGGGTCGTTATCCGGATGCCCCTTGTCCGCTTGTGAGCAGCGGGTGCCTGAAGAATCCTTGTCTCCTAAGTCTCCGGCAATTGAGCCAAGCCAGCAAGCACAAGCAGTCCAGCTCTCACGATTCAGAAACTCCCAGAGGCGCGGGGCTCTATGCCAGCCCCGAGAACCAAAGCACGGTGGAGGCGATGGGAAGCCTTGCCTCGCTGAACCCATCAAAAGTGGCGCAGAGTGAGGGAGCCTTCGGAGCTCTGAATTCCTATAATTGATCATCCTCGTCAGTGCCTGTAGGGAACGGCGGGATGGGGGCTTCTCAGAATTTTCGAATCTCAAAGAGCCATCCCAAGCCTCCGTGATCTTGGACCTTGAAAGCTTGTCCCGCGCTCTGTGCGGAGGCTTCGGTGCAAGATCGACAGGTGGCGCTTCTCTCTCTCTTTCCAGGCGGTGTGTCCAGGGTCTAGAACATATGTAGACGATTCGACTACTGCGGCTGCTGTGTGCTGGGCGATCGGGTTGGCGTTTGGATGTCCTGGTATCTTGAGGCACCACGCTACAGCGCCGGTTGCTGTATGCCTTCTATGTTGAGGCCAGACAGTGTCCAGGTTTCTCAGGCACGAGAGTGGAGAGCTTGCGGAGTGGTGTCAGGTGCTCATCCCGAGCAGCTTTCCTCTGCAGAACTCTTGGCGCTTGCGGGTCCTCCGCAACGACACTGGTACTGTAGAGACTGCGACGATCCCGGGCTGCCTGCCTGCAAGCACAGCAGCTGCTCAACTGTCACCAGCTCAAGCAGTTCTGCGCATAGACAGTGGCTGACATGTGTACGACTACATTCATCTACAAATTCTGTCCCATGGGACGGCTGTGCAAGTTGCCAACCGACTTCGCTTGTCGTGCGTGTGGAAGACTGCTGCAGCATTTTGGTGAAGCAGACGGAAAGTCAAGCCAAGTCCAGTGGCACCATCCACATGATGCTTCGACAAGCAACATGCCACCCAACATCTAGCTGACCTCCACCCTTCACCCCTACTCACCTTGCACCTCAACCAACTCCTTACAACCCACTGAAAGCACAACCCTATGGCGCCTTCTATCGATGCCATGCCTCTCTCACTCGCCCATGCCGCCCCTTCCTGGCGAAATGTGGGACGGCCTCTAGTCGGAGGACCTCAGTGGTGGCTGAGACAGCTGGGTCCAAGTGAAAGCGTGCAATGACCACTTCGTCCATAGGCACGCCTGTACACCTGTCAGGGCCGTACAGTCTCTAACCTTAAAGTGAGCTTTAGGGGTAGGGGGGTTCGACCTGTGAACCACATGCGTGTTCCTGTACTGCACCGTGGCCTTCCAATCCTTCCAGGAGTTGACATTTGACATGGCCGGAGCATCGGCAGAAAGCACAGCGGCGGCAGCTCGGGTCAATGCTGAGTGCGATCTGCTGTCGAGGTACATGCAGACATATGCAGACTTACATGGAGCACAGCGCTTAGTCCTGGCTGATCAGGCCCACCATGGGCGAGGGATGCTCAGCCACGCAGTACGCAACCACGTCGCATCCTTCGACGCCTTCTTGGATCATGGTCTGGATCGACGCTCGCGCGTAATGTGGGATTTCCGCCCACGAGGGCAGGACAGGGTAGGTGATTGCAGGTGCAGTGTGAACAAGTTGTGGCAAAGAGACCTTGAGCCAAGGACTCGTTGAAGGTTTATCTAGTCTGGAAGTGGAGCCTCCGGACGATGATGGGAGTGACAGCCTGATGCTGTGACTCATTTATTGTAGCCTCATCTTCAAGCTTCATCTTCAAGCTTCCATACGCCAAAGAGCGAGAGGGGAGCTCTCGATGTATTCCCGAAGATTCTTGCAAAGGGGTTGCTGGTAAGGACGGTCTATCTTTCCGAGCTGTTGATCTCCAAGCCGGTGAACAAAGCCCACCCAGATCACAAAGCAGAAGGCACATGGCTTAGTCGGCGTATGTCGGCGTAGTGGTCCCTGTATTGTTCGCAGGCGGCGAGTCGGACGTCGTCCTCACAAGGAAATGGTTGCCATCTGCACCCTGCATGAACTACTAAGTCTTAATTGTGTAGCTTACGCTGCGCGACCCGCCTCGGCCGGGGCCTACGCAGCGGCAGACCGGAGATCCCGGATGTGAAGGTACTCTTGGGCTTCAGGGCTTTGAGAGGCTTGGTGCAGTGATTCCCTTGCTGGCACCCCATATTTGTGGAAGTGGCAAAACAAGAAAAACTACCAGGGTCCGGGTAGCTGGGGGGCAGGGTGGAGGCTGGGGGGGGGGGGGCCGCCCACCACGCAGCGGTCGGGCCCAAATGCTCGCTGGTCCTGATGCACCGTCCGCTCCCTGTCGGCTAGGGAGGGAGGGTACCCATTCCAAGCAAAAAAGGTGCCAAATGAATGGGTGCAATCTGGCGTGCCGTTGGGGAGGGGTTAGAAGAGGGGTACCAGCTTTTGGCTCCCCAAACACCTACTGCCCCAGGCCTCGGTAAAGTATGCGACGTTGCAAGCCAAAGAAGTACTCGCAAGCACAAGTCTAAGCATCGAAAGTATACAGAAGTCACGCTGACCCCAGTGACTTTCCATTGACTGAATCTTGACGCTTGACACAGCGCATTGTCCCACTTTTGACCTTCGAACGCTTGGCCCCAAAATCACCTTACCCATGATGACCCAAATTCTTACCCATTATGGACATAGTCTTACCCATTCGGACCCCTCATGACCCATTATGACTAGAGGGTTCCGGGTTTGGGGTTTAGGGTTTAGGGTTTAGGAGGTATGACCCAAGAGCAGCCCAGGACTGCCGAATGGCCCACTCGACCTACGGAGGAGCGCTGACGGCCACCTTCGAGTGCCGGATGGGCAAGAAGAGCCCCTGGAAGCTGGGACTGTCAGAGGGCTTGGGGTGCCAGTTTGTGCTTAGGGCTTAGGTTAGGGCTTAGGGCTTGGGGCTTAGGGCTTAGGGCTTAGGGCTTATATGGCTTAGGGCTTAGGGTTTAGGATTTAGGGCTTAGGGGTTTAGGGTTAAGGGTTTCGGGATGCAGGGTTTAAAGTTTAAAGGGTTTGGGGTTTACAGGTTGTAGTGTTTAGGGGTTAGGGTTTTTTTCGGGTTTATGGCACTGTGTTTTTGTTCTTGCTTTCGGAGTTTTGGCAAGCACGCTGAGTTCGTGGCCGCACTGCAATCCATTCTTGAGCGGCAGCATAAGCATCAGCGGCTTTGCCTACCGAAACCACAGGCGCAACTATTCCCTCAATGAACTTTTTGGCCATCACCTCATGTCACCACTCTAATATTGCACCCGCTCTCCGCCTTCTCGCCTGGCAACATTGAACTCCGAGCCCTGCATCAGGACTTCGATCCACGGGGCTTAGGATTTTCCGGGGCTTCAGGTTCCAGCCAGCAGGGCCCGCAAGGTTTCAGGGTCTTGGAGAGGGACCCTGAATGAAAGGACACGCCCAAGCAGGGTCTCTCTCTCTCTCTCTCTCTCTCTCTCTCTCTCTCTCAGGAGCGCGACGATTGAGCTGGGTGAGATTCCGGTGCCTGGTGCGTGAATAAGATGTCACATCACATCACGGAGCCTTTGACAGAGTTCCCTTAACCCCCTAAACCCTAAACCCTAAGCCCTAAACCTTAAACCCTAAACCCTAAACCCTAAGCTCTGGTGTCTGCCCTAGCTTTTCCCCGTGTGCAGATCATGGTGCGCTCGAAGAAGTGCAACCTCCACGGCCTCAGCCAGGAAAAGCTGGTCGAGGCCAGGGAGGACTGCACCCTGGCAGCAACTGCAACGTTTGCACTACTGCAAAAGAGGCACATTCCCTAGGGACAATGAAAATCAAGATGCCCATCTAAGTTGGATGTCAAACAGCCCTCGGCTCTTGACCCCAAACCCTAAGCCTAGAATTTCCTCGAAATCAAGACCGGAAAAAAGGAAGCAGAAGAAGGGAGTAAGCCAAATAACCGAAATCACTAAAGCCAAGATGCAGGAGGATTTCTCCAGAAACCGAAGCCAAAGTCTCCCTGCAGTTTTGTTGGCTTTGTTTTTTCGTCTGGGCTTCGACATAGTGATCGCTGCATGTTTTTTTGGTTTTGGTTTCCAGGAAGTTCTCCATGCAGTATTTCGTTGCTTCCGTGGCATCTTGTTTTGGTTTGGGTTTCGAGTGAATGTGGGATTTATCTAGCTTCTGAAGCAGCCATTTGGCGGTGCAGAGAAATTACCTGAAACAGAAAGCATGGATACATGGGGCACCATATACATTTGTACAAAATTGTCACCCCAACAATGAAGATCCGGTATGAGTCTGGCAAGATATTAAGACATTTTTAGATAAAATCGAATCTTCTTACTCGCGTCAAAGTGGCACAGGCACGGAATCTGGAGGCTACTTCTTGCTTCGGGGCCTCGAGCGTGTAGTTCGCTTACTCGTGATGCCACGCCTCTCGACGCAGTCAATTTCTTTTGCGAAGGACCTTTCGGAGGTGGTGTAGTTTCGAGACCCCCCCCCTGTAATTCTTGGCCATTGTGAACATGTGTCGAGGTTCAAACTATCCGATGGCTATCACGCGGCCGTCATACAAGAATCGTGGCAAACTGTATACCGCCCATGCGGTCTTAATGAGGTGCTGCAGGTCTGATGGAACTACTCAGACAAACACGCTGCTTGGCAATGGAGTGGTATCCGCTGTTCTGGTCCTTGAAGGGCTGCTAAAGAAACCCCAAACCCCAAACCCCAAACCCTAAACCCCAAACCCTAAACCCTGAACCCTAAACCCTAAAACCCTAAACCCTACATTGGGCAGGCTACACTACTGCGTGGATGGATCGTGCAACCTGCGCTTCAGCCACGGCCGGGAGGAGTGGCTCATCCCGCTGTCCGTGGTGGCCCACAGCCTCTACCAGGTTCCGGGTTTAGGGTTTAGGGTTTCGGGTTTAGGGTTTAGGGTTTAACCTCTGTCAACATCCGATTCTCTCGATGGGGGTTTACGAAAATAGGGGAACCCCTAATCGACCCCCAATAGGGAGATTCCCTTCTACTAAGGACCCCAATCGGGTACCCCTAATACTGGCTAAGAATCAGGGGGGATATCGTAAACCCCCAGATCTCTTGAGTCCTGGGTCAGGTCTCAGATCGGCTCCTCGTCGAGATGTTTGCAGGACTTGGGGGGAGTGGCAATGGTTTTTTCGGGATTTTGCTTGTTGGATTTGGTCCAATGTAGGGTAGGGTTTAGGGTTTAGGGCTGAGGGCTGAGGGTTTAGGTGCTCCTGCGTGGCTTGACTGCGGAAGCAGGAGGTGGCGTGCCCGACAGCGAAGCAGGGGACGAGCCTGGCCCGAACCATGACCTCTGGGAGACAGCCTGCCGGCGCAGAAGGGGTTTTGTTTTGCTTGGACCCAGAAAATCACAAAAGCTGCCTTTTTTTGTCTCACTTGGGTCGAGGATCACAATGCCTTTCCACACTTACAAGTCTTGTTGACGGGATGCAAAGGCAGCCATGACTGCTGGTCATACGCAGATTCTCTAGATCGCCTTCTATTTCATGCCATTCTGTACTCCCGCCCATTTTCGTTGCTGCAGAGTCGGGAAGTCAATTGAACGGCAGTTTGCATAGCCTTGTAGAGCAAGTTGTTGCTGCTTTGATTCGGCTGCTCCGAATTCGTGGATCAAACGCAGACAAGGTATTGGTGATGCTGCAGCAGCAGAATGCCAAGCTACGCATTGGCGCCTGGACAGTACAAAA